CACAATTAAACCCGCTTAATGTTTCTGGAAAATTGTTATTGAAATTCATTTTGTGCTCGTTTATTCGGAACTCTTTGCTTGCTTTTTGGCCGCTGTATAGTTAATACTGTGCATCGAATAGCATTTTTGGTTGTTCATCTATGTGAAAATAGCTAATTATTTTGGATATTTGATGCAATTGCCGTACATATTGCCCTTCATCAAATGAATTCCTCTAAAAGCATCTAACTTTTCCGAACGGTTTTCATTTTGAAAAATATTTTTACCAGCAAACCATTTCAGTGTTGTTAGCTGAATACCGACCGTTTTTCAATGAATTCAATTTATTTTTCTTTTCAATGTAATGGAATCTACTTTCTAAACAACAGCTAATATTACACATATTGGATTTTGAGCTAGTTGTGATAAATAAAATGAAAGTTTGACTGCATTCAGTATACAGTACACATTTTCCACTATTTATCGCTATGCCATTTATTATTGCCTTTTATTCGCATGGAAAATTGAAAATTGTACACAACATTTTATATTTTATGTTCAAACAAACGAATTGACAAAATGTATTCTTTTTCTTTAGCCGAAATGTAAAACCATGTGAATGCCACTTGTGATTTGCCAAAAACTTCGGTTGAACATGCCATTTTTATACTAGAATGCACCTGCTGAGACAACGAACGACGAGATAACGAGTTTCCAAAACTATTAGTTTACAACACAACGAAACTTTTCCATTGCAATACCATGTCGACAGCGATGATAAAATGCGCTACACATTTCAACTGATTACAAAGTGTCAAAGAAAAAAAGAAATTCTTCAAAAAGTGTAAAAAACGAATTTCTACAAAACGATAAAATATTCGCATAGACCATAGAATCTAACCACAGTAATTCGGTTAAAGTGTTGTTTATCTCAAGTGGATAGCTAATATTTCGAATTTATGCGCGTTTGCGGAGATAGATCGTGTATTTGACGTCACTGAATTGAAACATAGAAGAGAAAATGTGAATAATGAGCTGCAGTCGTTTTAAATTTCAATGTCAACGGTTATTCCAATGAAGACGCAATGGCTAGACGTAGTTTAGGTAATTAAATTTTGACGTACGAGTTAAATTTGTGGTATTTGTTTCAACACACTCGCCAATAATTGAATCGCAGGCAAAGACGAAAATTTCGCTCTGTATATGAAGAATGATATGATGTTTCCATGGCTTTTGGTCGGATAATGATGCGCATTGTGGTTAAATCATATTCATTTCGGAACACATTTTTTCATAATTTGAACAAAAATTTTGTTTGGTCAACTCAACGCCGAAATTGGCTGATGACTTCAGATTGTCAACCGATTTCGGTACGGTTCAATTAAACTCGCATTCGGCAAAATCTTGAAATACATGCACCGCAACAGTCATTTCTTGCCTCAATTGAACAATAATCGTTAGATGCGATCGACACTGGATTTGGGCGGACATACATTTCTACATTAGACCTATTTATATTAGACCTATTTATATTAGACTTATTTATATTGGACATATGTTCGACTTAAATTTAGTCTTAAGATAGGTCCGCCCGAATCTGGCATCGCTCGTATCTAACGATTATTGACTGACTTACATTGAAAAGATGAACTCCAAAAAAAAAAATTTCAAAAAAAATATATATAAATCCATTAATCTAAGTCTAATAATTTAAATCTATTAATCTAAGTCCATTAACCTAAGTCTAATAATGTAAGTCTATTAAAGAAAAATTTGCCGATTTTCCCACATTAAACTTGAATTGACGCCTATACTGTGGAGTTGTGGATTAAATTCTAGGAACATTCTCAGTTCACCGATTCGACTTCCACTCACTTGGGTCATTTCGAAATGCTTAAGCGTTGGATACGATCTGAGAAGCCATTCATTGCTACTGTCCACCAAAATTCGATCGGCCGATCGTACACTCAACATCTGCATATTTTCGCCATATTTCAAGACTTTGTCAAAAAAGTCCCCGTAAACACGTGGCCGATCCACTCGCAACACTTAAATTTTACTCATTGTTTTTTGAGACATTGACATTTTTCGTCGTTTAGTGTAACAAATTTCAACTAAAACTGCTTAATTGAGTTACAATCAATCATGTGTTTTAAGATTGCTGAGCATCTCAGCATTTCGTAAGGCACGGATATATCCGAGCATATCGACGACGCATACTGTATAATACAGTGACGTGTGTTGCTACGTGCAGCCGCAACGACTCGACCGAAGTGTGTTCAGTTGATGTGGCTGCACGCAGCAACAACATACACATTTGGTACTTATCCGGAAAATTGAAGTTTCAATCAAAAAATGACCAGCATAATCCATTAAATTGTAACATCTTCGGACCATGACCTTTTCGAATGAAACTTCAATTTTCCGGATAAGTACCAAACACTAGTGTTTACTACGGTCAAAAAGAGAGTATTTAACACGAGTTAGTATAGTTTTTCATCACCCAAAGTTGACCGGAGCCATCCAAAGTGTTTAAAACAATTTAGTACTTTTTAGTACACTTTTAGTACTTGGCCTGAAAATTTCTTGAGGAGTACTAAAAAGTTTTTGCAGGCACTATTGCTCTATTTTAAGCAGTTGAGAAGTTTCAGAACTTCGAAAATGCACAAAAATACCGTTTTATAGCGAAAAGTGATTTTGAGACAATGAAGTGGACTGGATGTTGATTTTTCGAGTTAATATGTTCAGGAGTGTTGCTCAGCTATACTCTGGCTACAATATTGCCGAACAGAGTGAATGAAAAAAATGTATACTGCTCGAGCTTTGGTCGAAAAACTGGAAAAATAGACTATTTTCTCGACATTCTGCCTCATAGCTCTCACCAGATAGTTGAATTCAATGTATTATTGTAGTTTCAATTGTTTTCAATCATTTAAAATAAATACCAGCCAAGAAATGAGCAAAAAATGATGTTTTGAGTGTAAGAAAATTTCGCTGATTTTTTAGGTTCCCAGAAGAACTACCGAAATCGATTAAAAAAAAATCTAGACGTGGTTCCGGACATTCTAATGATGCAGAAGTGTTTGTTTTGAGGTCCTCTAACAAACGACATCGAAATTTCTCTTGTACGAAAACATGTTTTGTACGGTGATATGTTTGGATTTAATTCAAAAACAATTTTATAGATTTTTCAATCAATATTCCTCCACACAGACAGATAGATAGACAGACAAACAAATAGACAACTCAAAGTCAATGAGACTATCGAAGCAAACAGTGATAGCGACAATGTGTAATATTTCTTTTTTCTTTTTTTTCAACTTTTATTTCATATTCGGAGATTTTCTCTTTATATTTTTGTTTGCTATTCAAATTAAGCAACAAAATCACAGAATAAATTTGATATTAACTACTTTGTTATTATTTATTCCCGCAAACGATCTCCCTTTCAACTATTTTTCCTTGATAAAATGAAAAGTAAGTGTTCGCTTTGTTTTAATGAAAATGTGCCTTTGTAAAATTGTTGAAAAGTTATGGAAGGTTGTGCTCGCAAACTTTGAACAAGTATATTTTGTGCTGACTCCATTTTTTCTTAGGAAATTCTACGGAATTTAGAAAAAGAAACACACTTAAATGTTCAGCCAAAAACTGATGCGCACTTGATTCATTAATAGTTCACTTGATTATACGCATTTTGGCGGCAACCGACAATTGTTTCGTTAGTTTTTTTATATAAACAAAATGTTAAGAAAGAGATTCAATTTCGAATTTAATACGAAATCAGAAAAGTAACGAAAATTAATGTTAAAATATTTTTAACACTATAAATGGATGAATTTTCAAGTATTTTGGATTATTGCATTATTTGCATATTTTCATTAAGGGCTTTGGCTTTGGCTTTGTATACTCAATGTTTCGATACTCCAGTAAATAGATCAAGTGGCGAGCACATATATGCACGAAAAGAATGTTGATTTCATCACAAAGTTTATCCATCATCATCATATTAATGTTTAAAGTTGATTGAAACTCATTTCAGTGGATCATCAAATTATGGTTTTTCAAATCGTTGATACAACAATGATGTGATTAATTTTCAATTGAGTTTCAACTGACAGAATGCATTTAATTCCATATGCTTACATTTAAAATAATAATTGACTCGAAATAGGTACAATGTTTGACTGTCGACAATCTTCTTCTACACAAACAAACACTATCATCCCGATCATTATAATGATCAGTTTATAATTATAAGCCGAGCTTTTCGTCAGCTTAATTACCAATATCGGATGCAATGGAATAATCATCCGTGAACTGTGTGGTACATTTAACTGTTTGGGGGTAAATAATTGGAAATTCTCATGAAAACCGATTTTTGATTTGCATAATTTTAAATATCGGATCAATTACATCCGCATCAATCGGACGTATAATAAATATGATATTTTATCTCTAGAGAGAATTTGAGATGCTCAATTATGATGAGCCAATCATTGACGCAAATCTGCTTTGTGGTGAATCTAAAATGGCCAATATTGAATAGATGTTTGAATTAAAACGCTTCGAACCGTTTTTTTTTCTTTCAACCAATAATACCGGCATTTGAATATGTTCGGAAAAGGTAAATAAAGTCATTGACGCCATCTAGGTGTGAAATAAATCAAAAATGAAAGTTTCATATACAATAGCTTTCGAAATAGTACCATACCATGAAGCATAGCGAAAGTAGTTTGAGTTTTGCCGGTTGGCCAATCCAATGAAAATTGTAGCCTTCGAAAACCCCGTTAAAAATTGAAATGAATTGAAAAAAAAAAAAGAATTTCATCCTTAAATTCACAGAACTTCGACTCTAATCTGAAATTGCTCTTTTTTTTCTGTCCACCAGAAAGTATCCGCCATCTGAACGGAGTAAAAATCAGGCATTCTACCAATAGGGTTGATGGCTGTCAACCCAATTGAAAAATGTTTGCGGTTTGGTTGTGTATCAATTTGGTAAATGACAATTGTGTGTTGGCTGCACAGTTGTTGTTAGCTGGTGCATTGCATCTGCTGTCAAATTCATTCATTTATTTCGCATTCGTACACACAATCGAGTTGATGTAGCTTTTTGTGTTGTTTTCATTTTGATTTCGGTTCGGTGCTTGTTTGAAATAGAAATTAAAACCAAATTGTATCTCAAAACAGTTGAATGAATTGTGAGTGGGCATTACACTTTTAGTAATCTATTTGAAAAAGAAAAAAAAACGTCGACTATGTATTAATTGTAATCAAAAGCCAAGAGCATCGACCAGATATGTTAGATTGAGGTTTCTGCAAAAAAAAAGAAGATTTTAACACCTCTGGCATAGATGACATTTCATAAAGATCATATTCTATCATTCAATTTGATTTGATGAATGAAAAAAAAAAACGCGCGTGTGTTGCTTCACAATAATTCGGTGTTGTTTGTGTGTTTGTTAATGTGTTGTGCATGTGGATTTGACCGGGTGGTTCATTGGTCTGAAATAGTTACGGTATTTTGAATGCAATCAAGCAATTAAGACGACAGTGACTGGGTGGTGAAATGTATATTTTTTTTCGTTCATATTCATTTAATTAGCGCATTGAATTCAGTTTGGTTTTTTTTTTTTGATAGAGCTGCAGCAGCAGCAGCAGCAGCCACAAAGTGAAATTGAACCAAGCATTTTGTGTGTGGGTTTTTCATCGTCTATCGCTCGCTCAGTTGAAATAGATGAATATTACATTGTTGATCCATTTTGGTGGCAAATACACTGAATATCTTTCATTCAATTCGTTTGCTCCACAACGACGATTGTTATTTGTTTTGCATAGAAAGACACGTCCGGCAAAAAACCAATTCCGTTGCTTGAATTTAAACAAGAAAAAAAAAAGTGTTGTTCAATCATGTCATCGATTCCATTGTCACGAATTTTACAAACGAAAAAAGTCAATGGCGAGGAACAAGCCAAGGAACAATTCGACAAACAAATGGTAAATATTCCACTTATTACTAATTTTCAAAAGAGAATCGTCGTCGTCGTAGTCGTTGTTGTTTACACGACAAGTTTAATTTCACGACGAAAAGTGTTTATTTTTGAAAATGTACTCATGTGTTTTTGATTTCTTTTCGTGGTGTCTTTTTTGTTTTTTTTTTTCTCTCGCCACGAGAATTAAAATGCGATTCTCGTCGCCATCAGTGGAAGAGGAACACGAACGCGCCACAATGTACGTCATTCGGTATTTCTACTGTTAGTCATAGAATTTACGTTGTATATGGCTCTCCATATATTTGCTCTTAATTAAACTGTCGTTTCGGGCATTTGCACTTTCGTCGCCATCGTCGTCACATTGAAAGCGGTCGGCACTGTATGGTGTGTGTGTTCTTTTGTTCCCGCGGATAAATGATCTTTGCGTGTGCGGGTGTGAATGATGTCTAGTGTATGGCTTCACATTTTCACACCGCTACCCGGTGTCGTTCGGCCTCGTGCCTTCTTCTTCTTCGATCCAAATGTGAAGAGAGAAGATGAGGAAACGTGTGTAGCAAGAAGAAACTAACTCATTATTCGGTTTGACGAAGCGATGAATGAGTGTGAGCTTGATACGCTTTATGAATAATTCGCACATACGGTCAAGCTTGATACGCCGTGGCATTGAGAGCTACGCACGATAAATAAACTAAATCTATTGCATCCTGTACTCAAACAGCGACAGCATTATATATAAATTGCCATTCGAAAAACGTATTTCATTCACTATGCCGCACTTCATTTCATTCATTCATTTCATCCAATCGACGAATTGAACTGCACTGGGAATACGGTATTTTTCATGAATTTCGGTTTGAATTCAATCCAAGAAAATAGATTCGGTGTAACATATTTTGGTTGGCTTCCTCGGATGCGGCTTTTTTCCCTCACGAGACGAGATGTTCCAATCTAAATCATTGTTGAAACTTCCGAAATATTATCGGCGTCGCAAATATTGACACATGCATTTGGGCCGACTGAATCATAGTCAACATATTTGCATTACCTTCGAAACTTGCCGCAACCAAAAAAGTGACTATTGATTTGGCGTAGTTTTCAATTATGACGAAAATGTGGCACATTGTACCAAAATCGAAGACGCCACATCGATCTATCGTCGGCACATCAAAAAAAACGTTTTCTTCGGGCGAAGCCACGCCGATACATCGTAAGGTAGAAGTAGTATCAAATAGAAACAACGTCAATTACATCGGCTTAAAAGTCAACCAAGACATAAAAAAAAAACCAGGCGTTTGGGTCGATTTCAAACAAACCCGGTGCTCATTTATTAATCTATGTGCTTTATGTGCTTCACAATAACGAAATTGAGGCTATAAAGAGCAGCGACGCCGAATCGAATCATTAAATATTTGAAGGCAACCTTAATAGAAAATGCCACAACGTGTCTACGTTTGAATTCTTGATTCAAAGATTGATTCATTCGGCCGGATGAATCAGAGACAAGCGAGCGCACGCACGCACGCTGGCTCGTTTGCTTGTGCATTTCTGCATCACAAATTTATGCGCTTAACGGTGTTAGCACAAATGAATGCATCGATTCAGAATTGTGTACAACAATAATAATGGAAGAGAAACACTGACGATACACACTAGATCAACCAAGCGAAATGAGTGCGTACCGTCTAAATTTGCAATTCGAAATTGTTCACCATTGGAACCGTGAAAATAGTGACTGCGCTCCATACCTATTCAATTTGAATAGAATACATTTATTTTTTGCTCGTTGTTTATTGGATTTTTATCCAAATCAAGTACGAACTTATGCGTTCCGAATGATTCTTATCGCTCTGTTTTCGTTGTTTATTTCCTTTCAATTTGATTCAAAGGAATTTTTTTTTCTCAAACGTCGCATCCTGGAAAAAAAATAAAGCTACCAAAAGATATCACAAGTTTTAATTGTGATCAAAGTGTTTATATCGTGGGCGGCACTCCACTCATGTTTGTATTCAAAGCAGTCGATCTCGCATGGGTATTGAGTCTTTTTTGCACTGTTTTAGTTTCAATTTGCATAAATGAAACGTATACAATGACTGCATTGTTAGTATGCATCACATTGAATTCCAGACACCGAGAAGCTTATTTATCATCGCAATTCGTTAAGACCAATGTCATACGTGTTGTATAAATGTAGGTAAAAACGTGAATTTTGCAATTCATCATATGTGCGGCAGTTAAAACGACGGATTTTATGTCTGAAAAACTAGAAGAGAATCATTTGCCGGCAAGACTCCTTCGTCTTGAAATCGCAAGCAAAAACATTGAACTAATTAAACCCAAAAAATCATGGGAATTTATCAACTTCTAAGAGCCAGTAAAATGTATTAGCAAACCATTTTATTATTGAATATGCACAAAGTGCTTGCGTAAATGTCACTCGTTTGTACATTCACTGCTCTTTCCTTGATCCATATAATGATCATAGAAACGAAGAATTATGCTGGCATTTCACGCAATTGTTTTTCGTTCGAATTGCAATAAATACATTATTTTATCGTTAATTCTTTTTTTTTTACGTGTGACATACACCGTTGATCAACAAACAGTTTTATGAATTTAAAGTTAAAGGTTGAAGTAATCGATGGATTAGTAGCGTAATGAGAAACTTAATGTATCCAAACTATGCTTTCTTCTTATTTTATTGAAGATGTTTGTAAACTTATCCTTCTTCCATTCTTTTTCTTCACATTGACGCAACTCATTGGTCACGTTGTGTAATTCACCTTGCTATCTAACATTTTATCAGCGCAAAAAAAAAACGCAATGATTCTAGTCTGAATTAAATCAGCGGGCGCCAAAGTTGTTTATAACACGTTCTACAAAAAGTATGTAAACAATGAATCTTGTGAGTCAGCATTGCCATTTATTAATAAACATATAAATGGTGTTGAATGGGTTTGTTTAGTATATCTACCGGTTGACGTATACAATTCCGGCAATCAATGAGTTACATTGAATGAAGTTTTTATATTTTAGTCACACATGCAAATGGCTAACTAATTATTCATACGAATGATAATCAACGATTAACAGCCAACAAAACTGGAATTTTCTTTTTCTTTGGATCATTTTGAGAGAAAAATCTTATTATTCCGATTTCAAAGCGCAAAACACACGTTGTCGAAATATTTATTGTATCATTGAAATTTTGATTAATCGTCTTTTAATCCATAAATCTTGAGCACCTATTCCGATTTCTTTCCATTCTTCAATGCTTATAAAGAATTTATGTGAAATATTTGTACAATTCCAAAGCTCATTCGGTATGACAAATGAAGAGCAAACGCTTTGTTCGAAAAAAAATGAAAGTTTTGTTTGGAAAATGGAGAAAAAAAAACACGCATCGACAATTTTTGCGAGTCGATAATTAGTGTGAAGCGTAGTCGCACTTAAAAGAACGCCAAACAACATTCTCTTAACGGCAAACAGTGTTTATTTGTGCTTGATAATATTCTTATCATAGCACATATTCATGACTTGGGTGCGAAATAGAGTAAAGTGTCGAAATTACATGCCGTTATAGCCGTTGTGGTAGCCATTTGTGTTTTGCCTGATAACGCGAGACCCATGTGTGAAACACAATATGCCAGTACGTCGAAAACGATTTTGTAATTCCAATGTGTATAAATAAAAGGGTATTTTCTCTTTCTCTCGATAATTGAACACAGTCAATAAATACCTCCTTCGAGAAAAAAACAAAATCAATTGAGATCATGATCGTAAATCACGTCACGTTATTTTTAGGCGATTTTGAAATATTTTGCATTGTTTTGATTTTAAAGTTTTGATATGAGTTTTTTACGACTTTTATTGTGACTTAATTTACTATTATCAAATCTCAATGGTTACATTCAAGCTCTTAATTAGCGGAAAAAAGTTCCGCTAGAGTAAAAATGTCCGATTTCATTGATTTTGTGAAGAAGAAAGTGAAACCAGAGCAAATGAAAGAAGCAAATAAAAACAGCGAACTTGAAAAGATAAAATTGATGCAAACCTTGATTCATACGCACGATATGATAACCGGTTTTGGTGTTGTGAAACAAAAACAATGCAAATGTGGCTCTGAACACTGTTCACCTGAGAAAAGGTGAACCGAACGATTCGTCATACGAATCGGGTGAATCGGCGACAAAAGTGACTAATGCCTTAAATGTGAATGCATTCAATCACAGATAAGATACGATCGCTTATCTTAAAGACAAACGAAATGACTCAATTTAGCAGAACATTCGAAATTTGATTCAATTTTTTATTCATTTATTTGAAAAGAAAATGTTGTTCTAGAACTTTGGCTTAGTTAATTATTTGAAGAAGAAGACAAAAAAGTTTTTGTCTAATGTTCAAAAATGGATATTGAATGGAGTGCATTTAGTGAACATGTGTTGAACATTAAATCACCGTATTTAACACAACAAATTGAACAAATGAACGGATAAGCACACCATAACCATTCTATAGTTTACATTATGGACATTAACATCTATGTTTATGGCCGTTAATTCATCATTAGCACAACCAAATGCACTTTTAATGTTTGTTTTCGTTTCAAATGTAAGCATTTAACAAAATCGAGTTGAATAAGTGAGAGAGATCGTTAGACAGATTTTTGAATGAAGTGCGACTTTTTAGTGGCATTTTAATACATTATCATGTGCTTATTTGGATGTTAGTCTTTCATTCGGGCGTCTTCTGAAATGAGGAATCTCTCATAGAAAAAAATGCTTCTTAACAAATTTTCTTTTCAAGAATAAAAACCGATTTTTTTTCCTCGAATTTTTCTAATGTTCAAAAAGTTGATTAAGAATCTTAAATTAAATTTACGGTTTTACCCAAAAATTACAGAGAAATGTTCAACAAAAATCGATCAAGATTAATGGAATTAAAGCATGTTCGGTTGGCATTATCATACGTTCACTTCCGTTAAACCATAGGACTTGAAAATTGCATAGAACTATTTAAAATTTCTATTGATGTGTTGAAGCATTCTCTTAATCTGTTGTCTAAATCAACTAGACTACTTGACCGTTTAATATTTAATTCTAACGTGTTTTTTTTTTCATTTAATTTTCTGTCACATGCTGTATGTTCACATGTATAACACAATAACACTTACTACATCATACCATTTAACACACTTTTCAACGAAAATGTATGTTTTTTTCTCTCTCTCTCTTCTAATTTCAGGTTGCATGAAAAATACAAATAAAAAACTTATCAAAACCAATGACCATCTCTAATAGCATACACAAAACTCAAACAAAAATAACCAAACATCACAACTGACATTCTTCTCAAACAATTTAACCAAACATACACACAAACACCGATAAATAAACTATTCTAATAACAGACAAACTTATTGCAAATTGTGGCCAATTTCGATGTTGGTTCACTCGTGTAACCAACATATACACTCTGTACCATTTCATTAAACTTATTTCTCTCCCCTTCTCTCTCTCTCTCTCTCTCTCTCTCTCTCTCTCTCTCTCTCTCTCTCGTGCAAATTCTTTTCCCGTGTTAATTTCTTCACCAAATATGTAATATACTGATGAAATTGAATAATATTCGAATTAACACCCAATTGAAATGAATTCACACTCCAAAAATGCGCACTACGCTTTAAACTACTGGAATTTATTACTGTGCATATCACTCTCGCACTATCTCTATCTGGTCTCAAAATCAAACAAATTTTGTCAAACGAAATCGAACCGACGACATAGATTTTAAAAACAACCGTTCACATTTCAGCTGAATGAAAGAATCAAACAAACGGTCGACAAAACGAACAAATACTATAAATTTAAAGACTTTTATTTTCTTATTAAATATTGAGTTTGTAACATAAAAACGATTGTAACATGTCACTCAGCGATAAGGAATACTATCAATTGGTAAGTGGATCGAAAGTCACGCGTTTTGCATATAACAATCAAAGATGATTTGTCTTGTATCGTTTTTGTCGCTGTTGTTTTTTTTGTTTAATTTTGTAATTATTTGTAGAAATCGTGCAAATTATTTGCTGATTGTGCTTTGTTTCAGTTGTAATGAAGTTGTTCTTTCTGTATACACTCTTTTTTGTATAGTTATTCTATGAATTAGCTACTTTTAGTTATGATTTCTCAACAAATTTTTTCTTCTATTCGTTTTGATTTTTCATGTGTCCAATTTCTCTTGTTCTTTGCCATTCCACAGACGGTGAGCATCAGTAAAGCGTTAAGCGGCTCTGAGCATCCATTAAAAGTGAAACATGCTCGAGTTGCGATCATCGGCACATTTCACAGTCGCGGTGCACATTCCTTTTGGGCCGTTGCTTTGCGTCAGCCACTGCAAGTAAGTTCTTCTTCCTTTTTTTCTGTCTGTTTATTTGGATGATGGTGCAAATCATTTTCGTGATGTTGTTTTTATGACTAACATCATTCTAAGAAAATGAAGCGACGAAATGGTGCATAATTTATACGCTAAAGAAAAAGAATAAGATAAAAAAGAACTAAAAGTTGGTGGAGGAAGTGGAAAAAAATTATGTAAAAATGCTGAAAAGAAGCAAAAAGTGATGAAAATGAAGTAAAAAAAAAAGAAGTAATAAACAAAAAAGCCATAATTCAAGTGAAGTCGCTGAAAGTTTGTAAATCACGAGAAAAAAATGTCTATAAACTGTGAATTCATTTTGTATTCCCGCAGGAAAATAGAATAACAGCATGGAAGTTTTGTTATTTGTTACATAAAGTATTACGCGAGGGTCATCATTTGTGCTGTCAGCATTCGATGCGACACAGGTCAATGTTAACTGAGCTTGGAAAATTATGGGTAAGATCACATTTTGCTTACAAGTTTGTTACACAAAAGAACCGATTTCTTTTTTCAACTTTTATCATTTTTCATCATCTTTTTCATTACCGTACAAATTAGGGCCATTTAAATGACGGGTACGGTGTGTGCATTCGTCATTATACAAAATTATTGGTAAACAAATTGGAATTTCATGACCGAAACCCGAGAATTCCGCCCAATTTGACGATGAAGCGCGGCGAGTTGGAGCAAATCGGTGGCGGTGACATCAATTTCTAGTAAATTTTAACAAGAATTTCGAGAAATAAGTTGAACACCATTCAAAAAATTAATATGATTTTTTTTTCTTGTCAGCTTTCAGATGGCCGTCGAAATGTTTGACTACCTGGATGATATAATTGCATTACAAGCGACAAGTAAGTTATCAACGACTCTTGCCAACCACTACGCTCCATAATTCCGATCGATTTCCAATTTAATCACATTTTCCGTTTCGTTTGACCTTCGCCAGTATTCAGTTCGATTACAACATTCCATGTGAATTCAATGACATCGGCTGGTCAATGTCGGCTGTCGCCGCTAATTCCATTGATACAAGACTCAAGCCAACTGTACGATTTCTTAGTTAGAATCATGTTTAAATTACACTCAAATCTACCGAACGATGTGCTAGCAGGTAACAATTGATTTGAGGCAAAAGAATGCGCGAAAGATGAACACGTTCTAATGAATCTTATTTCTACGAACAGGTCATCGCGATCGTTTCCGGACGATTTTCACGCAACTCAAAACATTTTATAATCAATCGCGAAATTTACAGTATTTTGTAAATTTGATTACGGTTCCAAAATTACCGGAGAATGCACCGAATTTTTCATCACAAGTCGATTTTGGCGCGTATACACCACCAGTTGTGGTCATACCTGAATCAGAACCAGAACCCTTACTGGATATGAGCATGCCCACATCGTCGACACCATCACTTCAAGATGACTCACCTCAAGATCCACCAACACCTACCATCAACTTTGAACGATTGATTCGCGAACGTGACGAACTAATCCTCCATTTGCAGACGGAAGTCGATCGCTTGGGGTAAGTTTGGTTTCAATATTTTCTCTTCAATTCTTCGCGTTCCAGTTTTGAAAGTAATTTTCAAAGAATGTGTTTGAAACAAATGTCAGATGTAGAATGCAATCTCAATGAATATTCACGTTTAGGAAAAATCTCAAAGCGGCCGCTCTACACAAGCGCGATGAACATGCTCATTATGAGGAGACGATTGCATCTTTGAACTCGCAATTGAGTGATGCCCATGAGCACCTAACCAATATGCGATTTGTGAAAGAAGAACTGGAGCTAAAGGCTCAATCGGTGGAAAAGAATCAGGCTGAAGAAGAGAAATTGAAAGCGAGTGAGGAAAAATTCCAAAAACTCAAAGTGATGTACGCTCAAATACGAGATGAACACGTGAAATTGTTGCGACAACATGGTGATGTGAGCAAACAGCTGGCCTCATCAACAAAAGTGGCCAGTGATGCGACGAAAGAGCGTGACGATTTGAAAATCCAATTAGAAGAAACACTGTACAAACAGACCAAACTGGAGGAAAGTGTTCAGCAAAGCTCAAACGATGTCAAAAGCGCCAACGATGAGCTACAGCGTCGCATAACACAATTGGAAAATGAAAATTCTGCCTTATCCGCCAAATATGACGATGTAAATGCCAATAAATCCGCTGAAGTGGCCGAACTTCGTGTCTTATTGGATCAATACGAAAGTGAATTGAAAGTACGCTACTTTTCCTCCTACTAATTGATTTAAATAGCATTATTATGATTTAATGTGTCGTTTTTCATTTTTCGTTCTTGTTTTCTGTTTTCCCAGTCATTGAAATCGTGGTCCAGCACGATCAGCACCGAAAAAGAGGAATTGGATGAAAAACACCAAAACATCACCACAGACAATGCAATGCTCTTAGCAAAAGTGCAAGAATTGCAAAATTCAATACCTGAACTTGAGGTAAATCGAATTATGGCCACACATTTTCTGTGATTATGGTATAATTTTCATAATTTGATAATGGTTTTCCACAGGTGAAATGCGACAATTTGGCCGAAAAAGAGCAACAACTTCGCGAGGTTATTGAACGTTTGGAAGGCGAAAAGGCTGAATTGATCGACAATCAAAACGAATTAGTGACGGAACGTGACAATTTACTAATGCGATGCGAAGAATTCACGCAAACCATCTATGAGTATGACGTTGAAAAGATTACAATGGCCGGCAAAATGGAAGAAATGCAAAATAAACTTGAGGTAATACCATTTGATATCCATGATTGTTTTGCCGTTGAAATGTGCTTTTTGTCAAAAATTTGGATTTTGTTCACTACAATGGCGGAATTAAGCCAAAATGTCGTTAGTTCTTTTTTGTGTCGTTTGTGTTTTGAAGCTCATGCACTCATTACTATGTAAACCGGTGTGGTCCATTTCATCATCTTTTTTTTTTCTGTTGAAAGTCGCTCGAGAAACTGTCATCACAATGTATGTTCATCAACTACGATATTTTTCAATGTGGCTTGAACTCATATTTCATTGGCCTGTAGACCATTGGCCCATACTTCATTTTGGCTAAACGATCGATGTCACCGTTCTGTTGGATGTCTCATCTCTGTTTGAGAAAATGGAATAATTTTTGATAATTTTCTACTCTTTTTTTTTCGTAAATCGCATGCAAAACCACTTTTATACTTTTTATTAATTTGGTTTGGATTTGGATTGGTCACACAATCGACGATCGGAAATGCTTTGCACGAAATGGATCATACCACCGCACGACACACGCACGCATTTTTGTGTAGATGATTAATTCGGAGAGTGATCGAATGCAAAATGTTAAACAAACGATTGAATGTGATTTACATGATTTACTCCTTGAACAGGACGAGTACAATGAAAAGTTGTCGCAAACGAATAACACTATTCACACACTGGAAGAGGCGTTGAAGAATGCGCGCATTAGTGGTGATGCACGAATCCGAGCGCTCATCGAAACGTGTATTAAATCATCGGAGAAAATTGTGACACGAGCCACGGCAGAGAATGATGTAGCCGTTGCTGCTGGCACTTCAGCTTATTTCATGCTCTTCGGTGAAGAATTAACCGAACTTCTAAGCGAAATATCAACGGCTCACACCAACTATGTGGCCGATAGCTACAATAACGTGGAGGAACTCGCACGCAAATGTATTTTGATGGGACATTTAATGGGCACCGTTTACATTCAGGGCAACACCATTTGCAAAACATCGGCCAACATCGAACGCGGAGAGAGTAAGTGATTCGAATGAAAAGTTTGAATTTTCCGTTTGAATGGGAGCATCTTGTGACTTTGAATACACTTTCAGGAATCATGGATGAAATCAAAAAATGGAACACAAGTGCATTGGAATTGTTTGCCGCTTTACTCTCGACTCAGGATTCTAAAGAGGTACAGCGTCGCATTGATGACGTCAAGAATATGTTGCAGAAAATTACAACGATGATCCATGAGCTAAGCAAACAATCCGAGAGCGGTGCGGATATCGGTGAGATTATTGAACGTGAACTCAGCGGCATGGATAAGGCCATCGAAGAAGCAGCCAGCAGAATTGAGGTAACATTGATTAATATAGTGTTGAGTGCAATTTAATGATTAAATCACTTATAATTTATTTATTATTTATTGAATGCATGCTGCCCGAAGACCAATCTCATAAACATATAATTTTCAATTCGAGAACAAATGCTATTAATTCTTCTGTTGACAAAATATAAATTAATCATATTTTTACTTACAATTTTTTGAGTGCAAAAAAAATCGTTGATGATGTATTTCTTTCTGAATTATTTTTTTAAAGAGAAAATGTCTTGAATCATCAAAAACATATTTTGATTCTTAAAATTAAAATCATTCAAAATAAACTTTGTTTTTTAGTAGTCGAAATCCAATTTTGAACCAACATCTAATTTCATATTGAATTTCAGGAAATGTTATCCAAATCAAAAGCTTCCGATTCAGGTATTAAATTGGAAGTCAACGAGAAAATACTAGATGCCTGTACCGCACTGATGAAGAGCATTCGGGAATTGGTGAAAAAATCGCGAGTACTTCAAGCGGAAATTGTTTCGCTGGGCCGTGGAACGGCGTCAGTAACCGAGTTCTACAAACGCAACCACCAATGGACTGAGGGCTTAATATCGGCCGCAAAGAATGTCGCCCAAGGCGCCAATTTCTTGGTGTAAGTTTTTTTCTCCCTCACTTCTCTTCGTTTTCGGCATTTAATTCTGTGACACAGAATCTGTGTTGATTTAAGTTTCATCTAAAATGCGATATGTAATTTATTTGGTTTCATCTGCTTTTCCAGGACTGCTGCCAACAAGGCGGTCAGCGGTGAATCAAAGAATCAATTGGATTTAATTGTGGTGGCGCAGGAGATAGCCGCCTCAACTGCTCAGTTAGTGGTCGCTAGCCGAGTGAAAGCACCAAAAGACAGTCCAAATTTAACGGCACTGGGACAGGCATCACGGAATGTGACACAAGCGACGGGCGCCGTGGTGGCCACGGCCAAAGATTGCGGTCATCGTTTAGAAGAATCACAAGATCTTGATCTAACCAAATTGACGGTACACCAAGCGAAAACGCTTGAGATGGAAATCCAAGTGAAAGTATTAGAATTGGAACAAGCTTTACAAATGGAGCGTTCACGTTTGGCCTCATTTCGTCGCAAGAATTATCACAATTGACCAGCAGCTAAAATCCATTAAAATCAAAACAAAAACAAAAAAAGAAACCAAAACCATATTGTAACATTTCAGGCACAGAAACAAAACATAACGAAAAAGAATTGTATATTTTATAGAAACGAATTTCAGCATTTAAATAACACAAGTAGAACTGATCTACTGAGCAATCGATGCAAGTCAATCGTTTGCTTTTTGTGACAAGAAAAAAAGAAATCCTAAGCAGAATCAAAAAAGACACCGAGTGTTATTGCTCAAGTGCTCAACACACACGCATAATTGTATCATGAATAGAAATTGAAAAGTGCTTTTTTTCACTGTTTTGCAAGTATTATTATTATTGTAATCAATTTGAATGTAGGCTTATACAAAGAAAAATGGATTTGATAATGATGATGATGATTTTTTTTCTACGCTGGATACTGTTGAATATTTGTATTTTTTTTTTTTTTTTGATTATTTTCTCTTTGTGACTCCTTTTTTTACCTTCTTGAACAAATTAATTCAATTGAAGCATCAATGTTTTCCTATTTGTATCTCAAGTTTTGAGAAAATATATACGATGAAACATGATTGAAATTGTGGTCTTTTTCTTGTATCCATTCTGGTGCAAGTGTAGTTTGATTTCTATCCCATGTAAGTACGGTTTTATGTTAGTTTTCGCCACTGAAATTCACAAATACAATGATTTTAAATTCTTCACCTTGATATTTGAATGAAATAATTCCATTGCAATTTGACGTGTGTCGTTCATTTTGCTGTAGTCTCGGCTATTTCTTTGGATTTAATTGATTACGGAAGAAACGTGCGAAAAGTGACACGTTTGCCGAAGAAATGTATGTAATAAATAAAAAGAAACCACAATTCATTATAAATTTACTTCTTTATTCGAAGCTTTTGAGATTATGACAAAATTTCGTTTGCACCTGAGTTGAACTAATAACATAATTTTAATGGTAATTTCATTTACATAGTAAACATTGGAATGAATTATCGCATCTTATTAACAAAAGAGTTTGGCTCAGTCTCAAATTTGCAGGTTCATTCTGACGAAACGGAAACATTGATTGTTCCATTGGGAAATTATATAAGGAAATTCGAAATGAAGATTGAATATTACATCAACATAACCTCAATACTGTTATATTGGCAAGTAAATTTACAGATTTCTTATTAACCGAATGAAGTTTATAAATCGAGTTGAATTCCGTACCCAATCTTCTCTTTCTTCGGCCGTCATGGTTGTGTCAATCATCATTTTCTAGCCATCGGGCCGCTATTTCACCTTTAATCCTATTTTTTTCCTCCTCCCAATTGTATCCAACCAAAATGGATCTGCACACTGGACACAAATAGCGATGGTGTAGCCCAATCTGTTGCGCCTGACGAGCAAAACAGCTCGCATGGATTGCGTTAGAGCCTCGTGTACAGCGAATCATATACTCCGGGAAAAGGAGATTAGGATTTAAATTAAAGCAGATAACACACTCCATTCAAAATGAAGTTAAATAAAAACTTATAGATAGCGTGATATCGTGCAGAGAATCTAAATTTCATTCCATTCTTTTTCCCCGGTAATACACTTCAAATCCATGTCCGTCGGGGGATAATGGTCCTCCGTCAATTTTTTGTAGTCTTTGAAAAAAAAACAACGAGTCACGAAACAAAGCAAGTCACGATTAGACTAGAGACAAATAATGAGAATAACAAATCAATGCTTACTCTGCCATCAATTCAGACCATCGTTTCTTAGATGCCTCTGTTTTCTGTGATATATACCACATACTTTCAAATTCAGCCTGACGTTGGGGATCTGAATGTACAATTTCTGGTGGTCGTGGAAATTGAGCTTCCGTTTCGGCAATTTTAGCTGCATATTCATCCCATGACCAATTGGGAAACCACTTCTCAATAGTTTTACGTTCGTATTTCTCACTATCCTCTTCTGACAATTGGAATGCTCGTATCATACCAGCAACCGCGTTTCCAGTCGATTCACATTCAAATTTCTCCTTCTTCGCGTTGGTATCCATAACGACGTTTTTATTTGATTTCAATTCGATTGAAAAGTATTAAAATTTCCAATTTAATTCTCAATCAAACAGCAAACTAGTTTCAATGTTTACTAATGTTTTTTAATACAAAGAGAATGTTTATGTGTCACTACGTCGTAAATTTCCGAACATTTTCATTATGAACACATTGGCGCTAGTGTCTGCGTTCATTGTCATGTGTATTGGTGAACTGTCAAACATTTGAAATAACAAATTTGCGCCTTGCAACAAAACATCACATCATCCAGTTTAGCGGAGTGCAACAACAAAATTCGCAACAATTGTGATTGAATTATGATATTACAAGCATGGTGTGCATGGACGAGCTCTTGGTGCAACTAAAGATTTCGAATAATATGGATTTCTGCAGCGATTTGGCGAACATTCAGTCGATTTTCAACTACGCCAATGAGTACATCAAACCATTGACAAAGACTCGATTCCGAGGAGGTGAGTGTGTTTGGTTCATCAATGAAACTGTCACTTTTCCAATGAAGTCAGTTGCTGTGCATATTATTCAAACTGTTTTCGTCAATTCATCATTTTTTTTTCATCCTCTAAAAACAATAGGCAATGAGCCGTACATAGCGGATATCGTCACAAAGGTGTTGGCAATCGGAAAGGTTATTTTGATGCGGCCACCTCCCGTTGCCTGAATTCGATGAACAATTGCGGAAAATTGTATTCTACCCTATGTTGAACACCAAAGCCACTTTCAAGTACGATCTGCCGAAGGCACTTTTGCATGCGTGCATTTGGGGTCTACATCTTGAACGACACTTTTGCGACATTATTGCATACACACCGATCTGGTTTGCGTATCAGTTCATCGACAATGTGGTGGAAAGTCTGAAATATGCCGATCCCTACGAGACGTTAGAGCGTGTCGAACAATTGGTACGTGCTGTGCTACAAATATCGCACGCTCGGATTTCTGTCAAATGAAGGCAGTGGACAAATAAATCATTCTCAACAAATATTTCGATGAGACAACGGATTTGATGCGCCCTCTTCTATTCGCCGGATGCGGAAAAGTTTGAGCAAGTACATGGGATTTGTGTTGAAGCATAATCTCAATATGATTGCGCATTGTTTCGAATTATTTCAAAAGCGGCCATCACTCAAATGTGATCCGATTGAGTACAATATCTTTGCGTTGATGGGCGAACGTGAGCCATTGACTGATGACCGTCGTGAGAGTTACAGTGACATCGTTCGCGATACATTACACCAGATGAACACAACGCTGCTCAACTCGCTGCAGTACAATGTGATGCAGGTGGATTGCAATGCATTCATGTACTGGGTTGAGGTTGACATCGACGAAGAATACAGACTACAGCGGCTGGTCGGCGAAGCAGCTTATACTGTTGAACAAATGTTCAATTTGAATGAATGTTTCACGCACGATGTGACCGCTCAATTGAAAGCAATTGTGATAAAACGATGACATGATGCTGAACCAATGTACGGACATGGACAACAACTATCAATAGGTCATGCCACCATTCGAGAAAGTAAGAAAAACCGAAAAATTTTACACCAAGCGAAAACGCTTGAGATGGAAATCCAAGTGAAAATATCAGAATTGGAACAAGCTTTACAAATGGAGCGTTCACGTTTGGCCTCATTCCGTCGCAAGAATTATCACAATTGAGCAGCAGCTAAAATCCAGACACCGAGTGTTATTGCTCAAGCGCTCAACACACACACATAATTGTATCATGAATAGAAATTGAAAAGTGCTTTTTTCACTGTTTTGCAAGTATTATTATTATTGTAATCAACTTGAATGTAGGCTTATACAAAGAAAAATGGATTTGATAAGGATGATGATGATTCTTTTCTACGCTGGATACTGTTGAATATTTATATTATTTTATTTGATTATTTTCGCTTTGTGTCTCCTTTTTTTACCGTCTTGATTGAATTAATTCAATTTATCGAAAATATATACGATGAAATATGATTGAAATTGTGGTCTTTTTCTTCTATTCATTCTTGTGCAAGTGTAGTTTGATTTCTATCCCATGTAAGTGCGGTTTTATGTTAGTTTTCGCCACTGAAATTCACGAATACAATGATTTTAAATTCTTCACCTTGATATTTGAATGAAATGAATTCATTGCAAAAAATCAACTTACGATATTGCATGCTCGGGCATGTCCACCGCAGCTGCCACACGTTTGCAGCGGTACAACTTCAGCAAAGGAACTAACCCACTGATAACTGCAATCAAAGCATTTGTATTCGATGAGAAATAATTCCATTGCAATTTGTCGTGTGTCGTTCATTGTGCTGTAGTTTTCGGCTATTTCCTTGGATTTAATTGCTTACGAAAGAACGTGCGAAAAGTGACACGCTTGCCGAAGAAATGTAATGTACTGTACTGAGCTGAGGTTTTTGAAGCCGAATGAAATGAGTACATTCATTTCACATGACCCAATGTTTCGTCGTCAATCATCCAAACGAGCAAATAAAAAGCTGGCTCCAGCACAAGCCATAACAATCAAAAGTGTATATCAGCAGACAATTGCGTTCAATAAACGCTAAAAATCAAAATAATTTGCGACTGGTCACGAATATCGAAAATGATATGATTTCTGTATACGTCGATGCAATTAAAAGACGTTGAGATATTGTTTTTGTTTATATTAAAAAACATTTGTTTATATGAAATAAACCGAAATTCGTTGGAAAAGAGTCGCGCAAAAATCGATAACGAGAGAAAAACAACAAGTAACAAACTTGCATTTGAAATGGCATTTTTTAATTTTGTTCGACTTGCTTTGTCACTTTGAGATGGTCAGTATTTAGAGGTTCTATTGACGTATACATTTTTCACATAAACTTTGCGGTTTTTTGTTTTCATGATAATCACCTTTGCTCATCACCACTTTTCTATAAACACTTCTTCGAATATGATCGGTAAGTGTTACTCATATGAACACATCAAACATTTGTACTGCTTTCGGTTTCTTCTCATGTTTTTTTTTTGTTTTGATAATTTTATCAGGTATTTTGCGGCGAAAGACATTGAAAATTTTGAAAAAATGCAACTTTCATAACATTTCTCTCGATTTATTTTTTTGGATGCCGTATAAGAAATAGGGCAAAAAATTATGATATCTCCAAAAATCTGCCGGGCTAATGGATTCTCTGTTCAGAAATGTAAGGAATCTCCATTTTGGCAATTTGATCAGAAAAATCTTGTTCAAGAAGCACATTTGCTGTATTCATTGCTTCTGGTGATTTAGAGTCAATCTCGCCTCTACATCATGCACATAAGATTATCTCTATCATCACTATCATCATCAAGATCATGGTAAATGTCCAAATTAGTTTCTAGTATGGTGATTCTAAATTACGATCTACGTTCAGGCATCGGTGAATTAAATGAACTATAAAAATAGGCCTTAAATTATATATCTTGAAAATATGTTGTGTGAATGAGACTAAATCGTTTCTTTTAGATTATGATAAATAATTCTATTGTGTTATCACAACGCTTCATCGACAGAATTTCTATTAGTGCAACTGCTATGCGCCACATTGACATCCAAATTATGTCGAATTCAATCAGATGAAGAAAACACAAATTTACGATCACGATATTTATTTGAATGAAAAGAGTTAACACCGTTAGCAATGGAAAAGTTGATAAAATAAGTCCGTTAAAGTCTATATGCAGGCGCAAAGTTACCGGTCATACAAAATTAAATAGATTAATACATAAAGTAATGCATATCAACAAAAACAATGTTCTGAATCACATGCATATGACACATGTGCTTATTCACTTTGTTTATATATTATCATCATACCGATAACTAGGCAGTAAGCCAGTGAACACCATAATTTTGGTGTAAACGAAAAGAAAATATATGAAACAGTATCGAATACAGTATTGAAGTATTAAAACTCGTATAGGAATTCCGACCAATGTTTGAATGAGCAACATTCACCTTATTATGAGTGATTTCGTTTTAGTATCCGAAACCAAGTGATAAAAAAGTATTTTGAGTGTTATAAATTAAAGGTAAAGTGTGATACTGTCATCGATTTTGGAGATGTCAAGAAACAACGGTGTATTTGTGAAATAATAATATTTTGATCATGTTTTTATCAAATCTGGCGAAATTCGTCCTTTAATAGATTACAAGTCATACAATGGGCCAATTGATCGCTAAGCTAATGAAGCGTGAATGTCGTACAAAATTGAAATGTTTGAAGACTATCGATGACTCTTGCCTTGCGCAAAAATACCCGAAGACACTACAGCGATTGGATATAATGTCATATATTGGACGATTTTATAAGGATGAGCTGAACACATTTTTCAAACTGAATCCGAATGTACGCAACCTTGCCATCCACGTATTTTGCATGTTGATGAATCAAAGCTCGCTCATCGAATCGAACATCAAGTTAGATGATTTAACCATTGACGATTGGAAAGTATTGGATGAAGTATACGATCTATTGAATTGTCTTCATGAGCGTGGCTTTTATAAACGATTACACTACTATGCGGTAAATCGTATCCCACCAAAAGATAAGCTAGCAAAATTGCCTGGTCTTGTTACGTTATTCGTACATTCATGGAATAATGATCGGGTGATTGAACTTCCAGAACTGTCTAGCCTGAAAGAACTGATTTTTTATAGTAACCATATCTACAAAGAATTGGAAAAAATTCCTAATTTATGCATTAATCTCGAGCGATTAGTCATTGTTGACGCAATTTTTGATGACATTTTGCCGTTCATTCGCCATTCAATGAAATTGAAAGAGATCGAAATTAAATTTCTCAATGAAAATACACTAGACATTGTAAGGCTAGATAATGAACGCAAAAAACTGAATGGAGCACAAAAAGTGATCATCTTCGTTAGCGACAAACTTTATTTTGCGACAAAGTGCATTACAAACGATGTTATTCTCGATTTAATTGAAATAAAAAACAACGATCCGCATGAACAAGCACACAATTTCCAATCGCAATTTTTCCATTTATTTTCGGAAAACAGAGTTTATTAGTTAGAAGTATTGATTGTTTCGGCAATTTTTTTTTCTTAATACCAATTATTATTTTCTTTAAATGTACAATTTTTACAATGAAAACCGAACAGTTTTTAATTATTTTATAATTATTCATAATATTTCAATGAATAAAGTATCAAAAGTTTATTTTTGTAATCAAACGAATGCAAAAAATGATCGGAGTTGGATTCTTTGAGTGAATGTGATATAGAATTTTGTGATAAGTAGTTTATAATGTACTGATATGTTGGTAACGCTACTAAGTTCAGAACTCAACCGAATATGAACAAATACTTTAAATAATTTTTCACTTGAAGTTTCACTGTTCCCCCCAAAATATATATGATTAAATTATCAGTATAAGATGAAATCATGAACTTAACTTTATAAAATCATTTTAACTTCGATTACAGTACTCATTCAAAGTATTCAAGATCGCATGAATGTTCGAATGAGCATTGAGCAACACATACCGATAACTTTCGAGAAAAGAGTAGTGTTTATGAAAAGTATTTTTTTTTCTTGAAATTTTCTCATTTAAAACAAAATTTCTTACATTATTGTGGAAAAACATTTCACATCAGAATAGATAAGCAGCTGTTGAAGGTGAACAAAAATTTAAATTGATTTCATATCTGTGAGAAATTGTAAAATAATTCAACACATTTGATATTTTCCTTCTAAAAGCTACACTTTTCACTCGTATACAGCATATAGCATCCACTGAAGCCTGAACACAATGGGCCAATGTGTTGGCAGGAAAAAAAATAATCCACATCAAATCGCTAAACAGAACCAAAACCATGTGAATGTTGCTGAAATAGCTCCACTAAATGACCGACCTCCTTCGGCCGTATTCAAATTGGATAAAGATTGCTGGAATGAAGTGTTCAATTGGCTGTCCATGTTTGATGTACATTCATTTGGTCGAACGTGTAAGACATTTCAACGGGTTGCCGGCGAATATTTCCAATGGAAATACCGATCAATTGCTTTATGGAGTAAAGACGGACGTGTAAAGACTCCTCGAGGTCGAATATGTGATTTCGTTCAATACGTCCAACGAATTAGATTTGATTATAAATTGAATGAGCACCTTACATCAAAACTCGTCACTGTTAAACACTTGGAACTCGTTGGTGTCACCCTAACTGAATCGAGAATCAAGTCTTTTGAACAAATTCTGAATGAAATCGAAACGATTTCAATGGAGAGATGTAGATGCGATATGAATGGTGGTGTTTATCAAAACTTACTCAAACGTTGTACAAAACTAAAATGCCTGAAGATTGGCGATGAACTTGTGGTTCATTGCCTTCCACAAAAATATCCTGACACACTTCAGCGGTTGGACATATTATCGTATGATAAACGCTTTGTGAACGATGAGCTGAACAAATTTTTCAAACTAAATCCAAATGTCCGTAATTTTGCCATCAATGCAAAATGCATGTCATTGAATCGACAATCTCTGGTGAAATGCAACGTCAAATTGGACGATTTGACCATTAAATACGTTTCAGCTTGGGAATTTTACAATATTTTGAATGATCTTCATCAACGTGGTTTTTATAATCGATTGCACTTTTATGTGTATGATCGTCCGTTAGAACAGCAACTAGCAACAATGCCCGGACTGGTTACATTACAAGTGGCATATGATCGGCTGGTCAAACTACCACCATTAACTAGCCTGAACGAACTCATCTTCGATCAAATAAACAAAGAAGATGTAAAACAAATTCCCAATATGTGCATCAATCTCGAGCGATTAATCTTTTGTCGGGCGTTTTTGTGTGACATTTTGCCATTTGTTCGCTTTTCACGTGAACTGAAAGAAATCAGAGTGAAACACTTCAACGGAATTAAATGTTTAGATATTACAGCACTGAATAATGAACGAAAAAAACTGAATGGAGCACTAAAATTGATCATCTACGTTAGCGAAGACATTTATTTGGCAACAAAATGGACAAGGGAAATTAATCTCAATTTCATCGAAATACAACGCATCGAATCGCATGAACTCACACACAATTTACTACCATCACATTTCTTTGTTTAATATTTATTGTTGGTTTATTCTCTTCTTCTGGCCATTGCCCCGCGAAACATGGCCACTTCGGATTTCTTTAAGAATAAAATTAGTGAAAAAATTGAGATGAGGTATGAAAAATTGTTTCATTTTTCTTCTCCTGATCCATTGCTTTGGCTACAATCTCTTTTAGAGTGCACATTTACACCCAATTCTTTTAATTCGTCTATTATTTCATTTTTCACTTCATCTGTAGAATTTGCTGCGTGATTGCAATCGGTTTCAGTGATATCCTCCAATGTATCATTGTCGTCAGACGCATCACTTTTTTGTTCAGACATCATCAAAACTTATTGTTATTGACAGTAACTTATTGTTTGATTTTTCTATTCAATACGTTTGATGATTTTGCAGCAACTGAAATGTTTCGGTGACATTTTTTTAAGAGCCAACTAAAATCTTGTTGCCATACTAACTACACCTTAGTTCACGAATTCTTTTCTGCCCAACTGAACGTAAATTCAATCGAAAGTCAACTGAATCGCAAAAATCGCCATCTTGTGATAGAATTCCAAATCTACAGTTCAAAAAGTTTAAATTTCGAAACGAACAGTTTATTTGCCTTTCAACATTTGTTTTAATTTGTTTCATTTTTCTATGGGAATCCCATGGCGAACTGATAACAATTTTGCTTTTTTTGAAGGAAATCCCAAAAAAACTGTATGTTATCATGAGTGTTTTTTTTTCTCTCTAGTTGCTTCAAAATATGCCACTTTTCTACAATAACGTTTTATGTCTTGTATCAAACATTCGACTTGCTTCAACAAAGGTTCTTTTTGTCGTAACGACAAAATGTTATGTTACTTCTTGCCTTTATCTATTCTCTATCAATGGCATTAATTTCAAATTTTACGTCTGTAAAGCAAATAACTCAAAAATGTCTTCTTACATTTAGGAAAGATTGACAAAGTTCTGCACAACGGAAGTGAAGCTAATGTAAGTGCGATAAGTGCGATAAGTCATAATGAAATGAAACACCGGGTTGTGTTGATTATTTGTAGGAATTTCTAAAGTTTTTTTTTTTTTATTCAATTCGTATATATTTGTTTTAACATAGAAAATGGCGAATTATTGTCGCGTTTCCTTCGTATTTAGAAAGAAATCAGATGAGATTTAGTTTGGTTGTTGCAAGCGGTATTTGGCGGCACGCAAAATTGGGTACTTGTCACCGGTGCATGAGCCACGGAAATCGTCGTTGCCCAAATCATGAATGGCAACGCCAGCAAGATTCTTGCGGACGACGTAGGTCGCTTTACTTTGTGCGGTCTCTGGATCTTCGTAGCCGACCCACAATCCATAGTTGCCACTTTCGTCTGGCAAACGGTAGGCATAGGTTCCATAACGATTAGTTGGATCACGTTGAATGCGCAATGGTTGGTGTTCACCTTTCAAGTGACCGTTGCTTGGGTTTGGCAATAATCCACACACTTCTGGATAGCTCAAGAAGCCCGGTGTTCCAGTTTGGATGCCAGCTTGGCCTGGGTTTTCAACCTAAATTCAAATCAAACGAATAAATTGTAATGATTGTCATAAAATACTCTCTTTGTCAAAAGAAAACTCACTTCGAGAATTGGTGGAACACCGGTTCTGGTGGAATCCGTTGTCAATTGCCATGAGCGACCGTGTGTTGGGATGGCAACAATCAATTTATGGGCTGGAGCTCCGCCTTGCAACCACAAGTTGACTTGGAAATCAATGTTACTTTCTGGGATACGATCATGCAAGCCATAGATTGGTGCTGGATAATCAGCTTCATTTGGATTACGGTCCCAGGTTTGGTAGTCGTATGCGGCGAGTGTGACAAAGTCAACATTTGGTATCAAATGTTGGATGTCGTAGTGAATCGTTGTGTTTTGATTTGGTAAAACGGTCAATGACAAAATGTAGTTGTCTGGACGAATGGCATCCTTGATTTGACGTATCAAATCTCTGAATGCGTTTTTGTGTACTTCAGCATTGGCATCAAGTGGCTTGCCAGCCAAACCGAGAGTTTTCTTTGTGCTGTACCAGAAGCTACCGATTCCGGAGCGGATACGTTTTGGTTTGTTTGCTTTGAATTCCCATCCGATGTCTAAACCATCGAAACGGTATGTTTTGATCAATGTGTATGCACTGTTGATGAAGATAGCGAATGCTTGTGGATTCTCCAACAATTGCAAGTAAATGTCATGGTTTGGATCAGCATTGCCACCGACGCCCAACAATACTTTCAATTTTGGATATTTGTTCTTGAGATTGGTCACTTGACGGTAGAGACCTTGGCCTTCGTCCAAATCCAATTTTTCGTTCAATGACTTCAATTTGTTTGTGTTTGGATCAAGTCCGGCCCATCCGTAGATCAAGACATCGCAGAATGACACAGCTGGCTCCAATTCAGGGATTGTGACCTTTCCAAGTCCTATGAAAAGAGTGGAAAAAATGGGAATGTTGAGTAAATTGTTGTAAAATAATAGCGCACGAAGTACTCTTCACTCGCATTAAAACCATTTCTTGCTTTTTATTTCTTTATTCTTTTTTTTCTGGGTTTTAACGGTTGCTTTATTGGTGTTTTTCATCATTTTTGTTGTTATTGTTAATTATATATATTATATGTATATTATGTGAACACAGTCGAAAATCTTTGACCAAGAACTTAGTAAAAAAAAAAATGACATAAAAAACAACTTGGAAAACAAAATTAAAAAAAAAAGTTCACCAAAGGCAAACGATCAACAATCGTGCTAAATTCTGTATTCCACGAAAAGCAGATTCAAAATTGTGCCGTCATAACTTTTAATTAGTTGACAGCCTTCAGTTCGAAAGCGGCTATAGCACGAGCATAGGCTTTGTGCTTACGGCGCTTAAACAGCTTAATTTGCATACAAGAGCATCACATATACGCAGAATAAACATTTACATTTATTTACATTTGAGCGATGATGCTTCATCTCCGGTCCAGTTGACGAGTAATTCTTTTGAAAAGAAGAGAAAGAAATGATCTCCACAATTGAACTTTACTTTGTTATTGTTTGATATGACCAAGTGGCTGTTTTCAAAATGATGTTCAAACTATTTAATATGCGAGGCTCATATGACTCACTGGTCATATGGTTAGAATACTTGAATAGCAAACACTGATAAAAATACTTGATGCAAAACTAATAAACAAAGTGAGAGAAAGAGAGAGAGGGGGAGAGAGAGAAAAAAAAAACGGCAGCTCGTTTGGAATACAAATAGAACGAGTTGATTTGATTTTCTCGAAATCTGCTTTGTTTGTTTTGATCGGTTTTGGCGTGACGGATATCTCATATTCACATGTATATTGATATATAAGTGTAATAGCAACAATTAGCTCCTATCGTTGTGTCATTGGCAAATCCGTTCCTAGAACTAATATCGATGATATGTCAGCCACATTCATATGGATGATTTGAATATTTGAGCAAAGCAGTTAAAAATGAGTGGTTTTTATTGAAAATCCATTTCAGATTAAAATTGAATTGATAAAATCAGTTTATCACTTTTTGTTTCTCTATTCCGTTTCAAACTAAATTAATTCCAATTTCAAGAATTTTGTTGTTGTTTGTGATGTTGATAAAGAAGGAAGAACGAAAACTATTTTTTTTTTGTCTTGTTTTTCAAAATAAATCGATAACTGAAAATTATGCGTGTTTCTTTTTTCTTCGATTTTATCAAATTGAATCTCATTCAATGCTGCAAAGGGTCGCTCCTAATCATTCGCTTCGATTGGTTGGAAACAGTCAAAATAGGGACAAACCATTGGTATCGCACAGATGTTATAATTATTGCACACAAACAGACCGAGAAAAAAAAAACCAACGGAAAATCGAATGAGGCCTAATCTTAATCGTTTCTGAATCCGTTTGCGATATAATTTTTTTGCTCTTCGTACAAAAACCCACCACCAAATGATAATGTGTGAACGAGAGCGCGAAGAAAAAATTGTCTCGGCATTTCACATAAACAATTTGATTGGTTTCGTTTTTCTAGGAAAAGCGCGCGACCGAGATGTAGTAATCAATTAACATGCATATCATTAAGTAACAACAAACAGTGCGAACGCTTGCGCTCGCGCTCACCCAAATGAATAAGTTTTGAGGATAACCTTCCCGACGACCTTTTCGAAATATTCGCCACAAGTCATATAGAATCGTGCTGCTGACATGGCATACAAAATCAAGTCACATATTACTAAATGTGTTTACCATACTATAAATTTCTTCATCCCTGTAAACAACACGAAAAAAAAAACAACACGAATGCAGTGCATTCGACTTGTTTGTATGTTTGTTGTTGCTTTTTTTTTGCCGCATTTCCGAAAGTATTCGACTCAATTAAATAATCTTTTAGCTCATCATTGTAACACACATAAATATCACTTGAAAAAAACTTAAAGTCCAAATGAAAAAATGCTGCCCCCAATAAGCAAATAGTGTTTCGTTGTTATTTCTCTCTCTCTCTCTCCTTAAACCAGAACAAGTAAGCGAAACGGCAACCGACAAAATTGATTTAAATGACAAAATAATTGTCAACTTTCGCGAATAAAATGATTGACAAGTTCTAGGAGATAAAGACGCGCAAAAAAAGTTTCCCTGTAACTATAAATCGAATGATTTAAAAAACCGTATTGATCGTTTAGCATGGAAATTTATCTGAATCGATGCTTGTTTTGCAAATACCACAGAAACAATATTCAATTTACGAGATACGGATTACGTCAGTTACGGCTTTATTCGTCATTTTTCTCTTTCTTTCGTTTCAATTTTATTACAGTTTTGCACCTCGTAATAATGGCATCACGTTTGACACTTTTTTTTTTATCTCAATCGATCGAGAATGAATCGCTAATACAACAATGAGTGAGAAATACTCTCTGTGAAAATTACGCGCTGAGATTGTTAGTTTTTTTTTTTCTTCTAATATTTATGGAGAGTGAGAAAAAAATACGCTTTATACTGACCTTCGCGGGTAAATGTGGTGCTGTTGTAAACACAAACGACTTTTTTTCCAGTGTCAATAACGCCGCTTTGGCGAAGTTGTGCATCAACGATGACCGTTGTGCTGATGGCAAACAGAGCAATTAGCAAGGCTTTCATCTTTGCCCCCACAAGCCCTTATCGAATTTTTGCACGTGAAATACTTAACTTCTCTTCTAAAACCATTGAAAGGAGGGAAAAAAAAGGAAAAAAAAATTTATATCAATCTAAGGCGTTTCAATTAAGAGTTTTGAAGAAAAAAAAATCCGAATAGAAAACGATTAGAATCACGAGTTTAAAAACAAAAGTGAAAAGAAAAAACTCGTTTCGACAATGCTGTGTGGTCAATAATCTCTACTTACGGATGCTTAGCACAATCACACGGTGTTGTGATGTTTTTCGTTAAAATATCCAAATTGAACTAAACTCAGTTGTCGACGAACCGTCGAAATTTAAATTATTTTCTCCGCACCGATGTTGTTCCTCACACAATTGTAAAACTGAAACGGAGCGACTGTTGATTAAAAGAATAAGTCACATCGTCGTATGTTTGCTTGTGCACACACACAGTAATCCGAATGGCTGTAGAGTGAGAGGGAGAGAGATATGCGATGGAAGTGTCGAGAAGGACAGTGTGATGCTGCTATCATCACCGGTTGTGTGTGTGTGTGTGTGTGCTCAGTCAAATGACCAGCCGCAACGGTGAATACCATTAAGCACTGTCCGTTTTTTCCTCTCCTCCTTATTGTTGTTGTCTCGCCGTCTCAAAATATGTAATGCAAATACCGAAAATGAGTGTGTTTAATGTTCAACATTGTGATATCAACGATTCTTTTGTTTTGTTGTTGTCTTCGTCGTCGACGTTATGCGCTCTATATCTTTATTGCTATTTCACTCTGTCCATTCTTATGTTGTTTGTTCACTCTAACCACTGTACATATTCATTTATAAAGACAAATTGCTTCATTTCTTGGTATATACTTTGTGGTCATCTTTGTTGTTTCAACTGCCTTTATCACCGAACGAAACATTGTGTTCGTTTTTTTGTTCGAACAATTTTGATGCGAGATAATCGTTTAACTTTTCCACAATTCCTAGTAAAATGGGGCATCATGTATGGATGTAATTGAATAAACGTTGACAATATGATAGCGCCAACTAACACAAACTAATTTAATTAAAAACTTTGAATGGATTGATTGAAAAACAATAATTGTTTTTTCTTCTCTAATCAAACATCTATTCTGACGCTATTCAACAATGAATTGGAAAAAAATGAGTGATAAAATAAGAGAAAAACTGCTTCTTATCGAATAGGAACGTTTAATGGATTAAGAGAAACAACAACCGAAAAATCTAAGATACTTTTTAATCTTGAAAATAGTGCACACGATGAATGAATTATTATGGAATCGGCAAATTATCAATAGCATCTATTATTTTTTCATGTCGTTATAATGATTTCGATGATAAGCTGTTCATCAAGTGGAGCTGTCAGACGATGATGAATTAGTAGGATTAAAAGGATAGAAACAATTTTCGAAACGTGCAATGAAATTTAGCATCTCTGGTACCACGGCACATTTTCATCGCGCTGGATACAGGAATTGCGATAAACGAGAAGACAATAATTAGCATCAACATCACACGGGCAATAGAAATGAGTAGAGAGTTTGAATAAAAATGAGTTGAGAGCGAGAGGAAAACATTGATGACTAACGCCATAGTCAAAAATTATGCGTGTAATGTGTATTATTATCTGTTCATGTGTTGTTCTTGATGATAATTTTGTAACTATAACAAATCGAGTACAAACAATTACGAAATGGAGTCAATTTTAAAATATTTTTTTTTTTTTTGTTTATTTTTCGGATTATTTTCTAATTTACTAAAGACGTACTATAAAGTTTGTTGGTTTTCAGATATTACTATGCATGTTTATTGATCAATTTCAATCATGTTCTTTTTTGTTGTTTTATATGAATGTTCATCGTGATTTATATATAATATATATTTCTCTATGTGCTAAGCAATTTTGTTTGTTTCTTCTCCGTGGCTTTTACAGTTTCATTTCGTTTTTTTTGTTGTTTTCATTAAATAGTTCAATGGGTATTTACATGTAACACTTATGCTTAAGAAGAGGGAAAATCATCATTCTCTGTAAAATGTGTGTGTAATTTAACAAATAAAAATCTAACGCTATTGAATAGGTGCTAGAAAAACGGGTAGAGTAGAAATGGTTTGGTCAATTTAATGATCCTTTTTGTCCTTTTTCTTGCGTTTCTTTTTCTTATCTTCCTGCTTTCGTGATATGCACACACGACAAAACCAGTCTTGATCATCACTTGGAGGAACTAGAATACCGACACATACCCTGGAATTCACAGTTTTTTTTTGTTTGCGAAAAAAAACAAACATAATCATTAGTTACAAAATAATTTTTTTCATTTCAAACGCTCACTACTTACCAATGATACCAATCATCACAGCCATCACAACCAATCATTGGCGTTCCGTCATCAACTAAACCGCAAGCCGGACAAATCCACACCTGATTATCTTCATTTGTCTACAAATAAAAGAAAATCGATAATGCAGTTTCCAACAGAGCAAATATTTCATTTTTGGCGCGCTTATTCTATCTCTCTTTATCTCTTCGTCACAAAGGTCATTTACCTGTTCGTTAACGGTTTGTATGACATTTTGTACGCTTTGAGGATCGATAATGGATTGATTGTCGAATGTTTGAGACTTTTTATCGGAATCGGCGGCAAACGAGGCACTTGCTTTAGACTTAGATTTTGAACCTTTCAAACTGCTCGAACCCTTCGGTCGACCACGACCGGACGGTGTTGCCGGCTGTGGTGTTGAACTTGCTATTGACGAATGATAGTCACTACGAATCGATGCCGATGCATCGAAATAGTCATTTCGAATCGGCGTACCGAAATCAGCTGCTTGTTCTAAAGAAGAGGGAAAAAAAGCGCAGGAAAAGCATAGAAACGTTAATCATCGAATGATTGAATTATTTTTGAAAGAAAAAAATCCGTTTTGAGATCAGATCAATGCTTACGTTGCTTTGATGATTTCTGTTTCGGCGGCCGTGTAATCAGTGCTGATATTCTGGCCAATTCAGGAGATGGCTCTCGTGCCATTTGTTCACCGGTGTCATCAACTTTTCCACATGAGCCAACACCTTCATCAGCATCACTTTTATCGCTATCGCCGTCCATTGCACGCCATTGCCGTTTCTTCTTCTTTGAGCTAGTTTGAAACAAAGCAAAAAAAACAACAACAATTGAGTATCAAACGAATTGAATCGAGGTGAAAATGAATGCGTTTTATATTCGTTACCTTTTCTTATTGATGGGAAAATCGGGTGTTGATGGTCGTGATGTGCGTGACGATGGTGACGACGATGATGGTGGTAGTTTGAGTGTCAATTTTGGAACGGTACTCGTTTCCATGTTGCTATTGTCAGTGTTAAATGTTGCATTGATATCGGAACTATCGCCAATTTGACTGTGATCCGGCTCCTTGGAGAAAGCATCGCGTTGCCATTCGGAATGCGCTTGTGAACTATAATATGAACTCGATGGCGTACCAATGCCATCGCTTGTGTCAAGCGATAACGCCGCTGCTGATCGTTCTCGTTCCTTTTTCTTCTCTCGTTTTTCTTTCTTCAGTGCTGATTTATCCTTCGGCGATTTTGTGTGTTCACCTTTGTTCTTTGACTTATCCTTTTTATCTTTCTTCTTTTTCAATTTAACCACACCAGTCTCTTTATCTTTTTTCTCCTTTTTCTCCTTGTCTTTCTTGTCTTTGACCTTTTTCCGTTTCATTTCGCCGCTGCTAAACGATGGATCTTGGTCCAAACTTGGCGATTGCGATGGATTCCGGCGCTTATCGTCGTCATCGCTATTGATAACAATCGGTGAATCGTACGGTTTCTCAACCGCATACGGTTGTTCGGCAAATGTTGGATTTGGATTGTTGAACATGACCGTTTTCTTGGAGCCAAAGCTTGTGTTCGGCGCATTATCTGGATAGTGTTTTTGTGACGAGTGCGGTTCGTTTATCGATGAATTCGACATGTATTCATCTTTGTGATGCGATCCCATGTTTAGTAGCGACGGTGGCATCAGTGGTGCCACATTACAGAACGGTTTTGGCGGTGCATTGACCATGTCATGCGGATGCTTGGCCATGTTTTCCATCTCATTTTGTGTGGGATCATTGAAATTGGGCCGCTTGAAACGTGACAAATTTGCAAAGTCAAAGTTTGGCAAACCAGGTACAAATGGATAATTTTGATCACGCGCCGGAAAATCGAAGCGTACCGATTGAAAGAGTGGATTCAATGGATTCAAGCCGGGCACCGCGAATTGATCGATCATGCCAACATTTGAGTTCATCGGATTGGGCCGGAATTCATCGTTCAGGAACATTTTCGTAATTAGATTCTGGTCGGGGTTTAGCGGTTGTTTTGGCATTACGATTTGTTGATCCATAAATTTCGGTGTTCTTGGTGCACGCTCTTTCTTAGCCAGCGGATCTTTTTTCTCCTTTTTAATTTTCGGCGGTTTCGGTTCTTTTGGCGGTTTATTCAATTTTTTCAACAGTTTCGACTTTTTGCTTGGTGCTATATTATCATCCAAATTGAGTGGGGTTCGATTCAAATCGGGCATTCCAGGCATATGTCCAAATTGAGCGGCACCGTCATAGCTATCGGCCGGATTGAATCCGTGACCGGCCATATGATGGTTAAGGTCATTGGGTGCTGTCATTGAATGCTGTAACATTGGATTCATCATGCGATCCAACTCGTGCGGATCTTCATTCGGTTTACTCATCAAATTGGACGATGTAGATGACAATTTCTTGAAGAATTTTATCTTTTGTTTGTCCGGTGAATTTGACAGTTTTTGTCGTTGTTTGATTTTCTTCATACTTTCCTTTTCGCCCACTGTATCGGGCAGCGCAAATGGATCAGTGGGTGTGGATGGAATGGCAAAACCTTCGATGGCATTCGGATTGAGACCCATCGCTTGTAGATTTTTCTTCGATAATTTCGACATTTTCTTTTTGCGCTGCTTCTCCGGCACCACAGCGAGTGTATCGTTGGCCGTCGCAAATGGCATTTTGTTGGCAGCAAGTTGCTTTTGTTTGCGTTTCTTTTTCAGTGCTTCCAATTTATCTTTCTTCTTTTTGGCTTTTTCATTGGCCGCCATCAATAGGTTCAAATCGACCGGTTCGTTCATACGGTCACGATCCATGGGACCGCCACCTGTCAAAACAATATGACTAAATGGATTTTTAATGCCCGAACCACCACTGCCACCTTTGGCTGCTTTCAATTGATTCAATTTCTTCTTCTTCTTTTGCTCTTTCAACGTGGCCGCTCCGTCGAGCTGTGATTTTTTCGTTTTCTTTTTCGGCAGTGGCTCGGATACCGTTTGTATGACCTCATACAATTTCACCTCTTTGCCCTTATCTTCATCACCGTACGCACCGTCGTTGGCATTCTGAGCATCGTTGCCATAGTTTTTGGATGTGTCAGAATTATCGTTCTTACTTTCCCGTTTGTTGGAATGATGTTTGCGTTCAATGGGCTCTGGTGTGGGTGTACGCTGCCTTGTTTCAATTACCGGTTCGGGTTCTTCTTCGATTATGATTGGTTTCTTTGCTTCGGGCAATTTGCCTTCGCGTGCCGGCGATATAAATCCACCTGTAGTCATGAAGCAACTAACAATTTCCCGTGTTGGTATTCCGATTGTGTTTGCATTCGGCACATTTTCGTTATTATTTGACGCCGACGATGGCGCTGTTAGCCGATGACTGGATACCAATTGCGATGGAGGCACATCGAACGGCCTTCTGAATGTGTTCTCATCACTTGGGGCACTCGTGTGATTCTCAACAATTGCCGTTTCGCCGATAACATTGATCGCTTCAACGCCCTCGTCAGCCACTGTCACATGTTCAAACACACCATTCTCATCCAATGTCATCCGTTCACTTATCTGGTTCGTGCTGATGTAAGTTTGAATAATGTTCGCACTATTATGTTCATCTTCAACATTTGGTTGAACGGCTGGTGGCTCTTCGGCCGGTGGTGTTTCTAAAATACAACAACAACAACAATACACATACAACTGCCGACATGTAATCACAATGCTGATAATTACCTTCATGCGGTTGAATTGGCGGCAAATGTTCGTGTATGTGAACGGGTCGTGTGACCACCTCCTTTGAACCCGGTTTGAGAAAGTTTAGATTCGATTCTTTCGGAATGGGAAATTTTGGTACGTTTACGATGCATGGCACTGAATCAACATTTGTTATGTACTCCTCTAAATCGGCTACATTTATATTAAGATCATTGAATGCTAACGCAATATCGTCTAAATTCGGTTCGGTACGTCCATCTAAAAGTTTTTAGATTGGCATTTAAATTCGTGCGATGGAGAGAGAAAAACAATCGATGCACTTACATAGTTCGGTGTAGCGTTGTGTTTGGCGCGTCAATTCCTCCAAATATTTGTGTAAAATATCGGTGAGCAATTCCAATGGTGTTGTCTGAATGGAATTCCAACCGATGGTTTGTGTAATTTGAGCCACAATCACTTTGGTTAGCTGTTGAATGTACGGTAATGATGACATTTTTTTTGTTGTTGCTTTCTTTTCATTCACTGCACCTTCAGTTTGACTTTTGCCAGAATGCAAAATTTAATTTGTTCGATTGCGAGGAAAACGCGATAGAAACACGCACTCACGCTTCACACACAACCTTTCAACTCTTCAAATAGCACCAATTCCTTTGTCACTTTGTTTAATATGCATATTTTCTATGGTGGAGCAATTAACACAAATTCGAAACAATCATCTTGGGTTACAAATAAATTTCCCGTTCAGTGAGAGAATGTTCAGTTTTGTTGGTATTATTCTCGTTTTATGACTGGGAGACTCATTAAACGTCAACGTCAAAATCGATTCACGCAAATCAACACGGTGTTTTTAATGGGACAACAGCTTTTTTTCCTCGTCTATCCATTTAAAAAATACGGCATTCGATTGCAAACGATGCGATTTTATGAATTGTTTCTCATTTGCATCGATCGAAATTTCAAGCATTTGCTAAACAAATGTCACATACACACGATAAACAGCATTGAGTATATGAACAATTTGGAGCCATCTTGAATATTATTTCATACCGCTATTGAGAGCGAGTTTTTTTTTTCAGTGTATGTACGAAGCTTGTTCGAAGAGGTCGCTGCGATCATGACATTTCTATTGTTTTGACACTTCACACTTTGCTAGTGTGTGCGATTGTCACTTCGGTGTTATTACGTTTTGTTGACGAATTCATCCAAACAGATTCAATTTCATGTGGAAATTTTCATTTTGAAATTAGATTTTTTTTGTTAGATTCTTTGGAGCGAAGAAATAATAGTTCTTGTAGTAGATTTAAAATCCAAATACTACTAATATTGTAGTTAACAATTGAAACATTTATTCGTTCGAATCGAATTGATGTACTGATTTTTCTGAAAATATTGATTTAAAAATGGCAAGTGACGATGAAGATGAGCTGTGCCGCTTCGGAACTCCATTGGATCCGATTGAAGAAGGTAAATATTTACAAATGAAAATTGCATCGAAATGGCCATCATTCATGGAAAATTGCGCATGTTTCATAATTTCAAATCCAAAACGTTTTTGTCTACCCGTTTCAGATGAAGTGCCAACAACGAAAAAGATCACATTAGCCGATCAAATAGCGGTGGATAGCAATGGGAAGCGTCGATTTCATGGTGCATTCACCGGTGGATTTTCGGCCGGGTTTTGGAATACAGTTGGATCTCGCGAAGGCTGGACACCGAGTGAATTCAAGAGTTCGCGTGGTGAAAAGGCATCGCAACGAGTGCAGAGGCCGTCTGATTTTATGGACGATGAGGATATGGGTGAATTCGGTATAGCACCACAACGAATCCAAACGACAGAAGATTTTGCACCGTCCGAAGGTCGACAGAAAAACAAGCGAAAATTGCAATTGGATACGGCACAAGGGCCAATCCCTGGTGCTCCGGTGCTGGAACTAGTATTGGAATCATGCCGTGATAGGGCTGCTGTTAGATTATTGAAACGAATGGACAAAAGATACGCGGCGGCACTTTCGAAAAAACCAAAAAAACCAGAAGAGCCACCCGTTACAGAGTCGGAAGATGAAACAATGGAAACGAAAGAAGCGAATAAACCAGATGAAACATCGGAAGCGGCATCACAAGAAAAGGTGTACAAGTGTGATATGGGGCCAATGCGTCGACCACGAAGAGATAGCGAAGGCAGTAGCAGCGATGACGAAGAACTAGTCTTTGACGAAGATGAATTTGATGCAATTTTCAAAAATTTCAAAATCAATCGCTTCGGATTGGACTACAAGGGATTGGATAAAGGCAATTTTTTTGCAACCGTTGGATCTGAAGTGCCAATCATTCAAAATAACTTCAACAGTTTATCGTCTTTCACAATGGTCGATCAGAATAAGAAAAAGGTGACGATACGAGGTCAAGCGTTTGGTGTTGGTGCATTCGAAGAAGACGACGATGATATTTATGGCCGAGATGACATGAGCAAATATGATTTTCGATTGGAAAACAAAATTGAGAGTGGATCGTCAAAGAGCTCAAGGTATAAAGAACGGGGATTTATTAGTGGCTTCAGCGATGCATCGTCTGTCAGTCGAATTGCATCGAAATACGTATTTAAAGTGCCACTTCCATTTGGATTCGAGCCGAGAAATTGGATGAAACGAAAGAGTCGATTCGGGCCTGAAGTTGCCGGTTCCAGTTCGTCATCGATCAAAGGACCGGCTGATAAAGTGATTGGACGACATGATTTAACACCTGATCAACGTGGAGAGCTGCTGGGTGATAAAACAGCTAAGAAGGATACAGTTAGTGATATCGATGCGAAATTGAAGGCAGCCGGCTTGAAAACTATGAACTTTACATCTGGTGGAATTGAAAACAAGTCAGATGATGGACCAAAACCAACAACGAGTGACGACTTGAGCGCGAAAATCGAAGAAAACTTGACAAAAATACGCAATAAATCGTTTGTTGTGCCAGAGTCTATACCGCAAATTTTTGACAGGTAAATGAGAATTTTCGGAACAATTTTATTTTCTGTTGAAATGTTCGCCTTTTTCGCTGTTTTTATTTTTATTTTTTGAAAATCTCTTCAGATCTTCTTCCATCAATATCAATTTACCTTTTTTCAAATCATATGAATAATTTCCAGATTCACGGCTTCAAACGACTCAAAACCATTATCTGAGCTAGATCCATCCGAGACAACGAAAATCAAAGAGGTACCAGCTGCTCCAGTCGTGCCGAAAGAGGTAAAAAAAGTCATTCGTACTAGAAGTACTTGGGTGCCGTGTCAATTGCTTTGTTATAAGATGAATATGGAAACGAATGTGGGGTAAGTTTTTTCTCCTTTTCATACTAGATTTTCCAATTTTTCAAACTGAAAAATAACTCTCAATTTTTTTCATTACAGAACAAATCCCGAGAAAGGTAAAACATTTTCGCTATTCGAATGTATTGCAAGCACCGAGTCAGCACGTCGAAATCGATTAGAATTCACGAATGTTCGACAGGATGACAGTGAATGGTCTGAGCTGAAGAAAATTGAAGAAAAGTCAGTGGAACGAGCGAATCAGGCGAAATTGATTCAAAATGAACTCACCAATAAAATTGTGTCAAAAGAACTTCCCGCTTTAGTTGTCGAGAGAAAACCACTCGGAGGAGCTCCAGAGCCAGGTGCAAAAATTGAAATAAAGCCTGAACCACCAGTTGCAAAACGAAATAAGCCGAAGACTGAGCTAGAGATGAAAATAATCGACGCACAACATGAGCATCCATCGAAAAAGAAAGATATTTTTAAAGCAATTTTTGACAGTGACACTGAGAATTCGGAAGGAGATGAAGAAAAGGAAGAAAGTAGTGGAATGTCAACTGTTCCAAAACCACCGACAATTAATGCTGATGTAATGGCTACACTGACACGACCATCCACTTCGTCAGGCGCAATTTATGCACAGCTCCCCGACGAAGCATTCAAGCCAAAGTCAGCCAGAGAAATAAACATTCTACGGAACACATCTCCGCCCCGTGGTATTTTCAGTGGCTTAACCAAGAAAATGGAACCACCAGCGAAAATTGACTCGGCCGAAAATAAATCCAGTGAATCAATTGAAGATAAGGAGGAAGATTCAAACGCCTATGGACCAACATTACCGCCATCTAAACCATCCAGTTCACATAATGGAAAGTCAGACATTTCAACAGCATCAAGGGATAACCCAAATGCGCTGGCTTCAATTTCGTTGGGCAAAACAAAAGTGATTTACGAGGAGAAATGGATTGAAAAATCGGAAGAAAAGGAGAAAAAGTCCAAAAAAGAAAAGAAACACAAGAAAGATCGCGACAGACATAAGAGTAAAAAACAGAAAAAAGAAAAACATAAGAAGAAAAAGCGATAAAAATGTGATCATTGTTCAAATACAATTGAAATTGAATTCAAAATTTAATTGAATAAAAATATAAATTTAAAGGAAATTTTGTTTTGATTTTTCATGTTAAAATCACAATGCTTTTTTTGTGAAATTGGATTTTTCCCAAGGATATACTCGCCATTTGAATCTTCTATTTTAGCGGTCGTTCACCGTATGTGACATTTTTATAGATATAGTAGTAGTGCCGCCATATAAATGACACAGGGAAAAAATTGTTTGCTTCATATCTGGACTGACGTTAAAACTTACTTGAAATAAATTCTCTGTGAAATTTTGTTTTTTTCTTGAACTAAAATGGCAAATAGTACGAGCTCCACCACAAG